GCATGGCCCTATTGAACTCAATGGGTAAGTTTGACATATCAATGTGTCACTTGTCATTCTCAACAGCCTAAGTTAAAAATGTAGCGGCATGTGAACAGCCCCATCGGGCTGTTATTTTACAGTTCAGGTGGGCAGCCAGGGGTGGTAAAACCGTGGTTCATTCGCCCGTTTTTGCCACCCACCAATGTGAAACAGACCTATTTTATAAACAGCTATACCTATTATTCTTAGTGCTAGGTGTATTTTTTTCTATATTTTTATGTACTTATAGGCCTTCCTAGGTCCACAATTAATATTGAGCAGAATTAAGTTTGGCCCTCCACAATAGTCAGTTTCTCATGTGGCCCCTTGCAAAAATTAATTGCCCACCCTGGTCTGGAGAAAAGGAAATGGGAGATATGATTGAAACCTCTTTAAATACATCAAGGATGCAAATAAGGTTCAGGAATGTAGGAGGGCAGTATTTTCAATACATACACACTCAAAGGCCACATTATTAGGTACACCTGTTTAATTGCTTGGTAACAGAAATTGCTTATCAGCCAATCACATGGCAGCAACTCAATGTATTTAGGCATCTAGACATGATGAAGACAAGTTGCTGATGTTCAAATCGAGCATCAGAATAGGGAAGAAAGGGGATTTAAGTTACTTTGAATGTGGAGAGGTTGTTAGTGCCAGACGGGCTGGTCTGAGTATTTCAAAAACTGCTGATCTGCTGGGATTTTCATGCACAACCATATCTAGGGTTTACAGAGAATGGTCCAAAAAGAAAAAATATCCAAAATATGAAAATGCCTTCTTGAGGTCAAAAGCGAAAGGCAAACTAATTGGAGATGATAAAAAGGCAACAGTAACTCATGTCAATATGGACCAAAATCTCTGAGAATGTTTCCAATACCCTGTTGAATATATGCCACGAAGAATTAAGGCAGTTCTGAAGGCAAACAGGGGGGCCCAACCTGGTACTAGCAAGGTGTACATAATAAAGTGGCTGGTGGGTGTGTGCGTGTGTGCAAATGTATGTATATACCATATATATATATATATATATATATATATATATATATATATATATATATACATACAGTTGCAAGAAAAAGTATGTGAACCCCTTGGGATTACGTGGAGTTTTGCACGAATTGGGCATAAAATGTGCGCTGAACGTCATCTAAGTCACAACAATAGAAGAACACAGTCTGCTGAACATAATACTACACAAACATTAGATGTTGCCATGGTTTAATTGCACATAACATGTAAACATTCACAGTGCAGGGAGGAAAAAGTATGTGAGGCCCTAGCTTAATGACTTCTCCCAGAGCTAATTGGAGCCAGGAGTGAGCCAACCTTGACTCCAATCAGTGTGATGATATTGGATGTGTTGCTGACAGCTGTCTTGCCCTTAGAAAACACACACCTGTTTTGGCTTTACTGTTTTCAAGAAGCACTGTCTGATGTGAACCATGCCTCACAGAAAAGAGCTCTCAGAAGACCTATGATCAAGAATTGTTGACTTGCATGAAGCTGGAAAGGGTTACAAAAGTATCTCCTTGAGCCTTGATGTTCATGTGTCCACGGTAAGACAGACTGTCTACAAATGGAGAAAGTTTAGCACTGTTGCTACTCTCCCTAGGCGTGGTCGTCCTGTAAAAATGACTGCAAGAGCACAGCGCAGAATGCTGCATGAGGTAAAGAAGAATCCCAGAGTGTCAGCTAAAGACCTACAGAAATCTCTGGCACATGCTAACATTTTTGTTGACACATCTACAATAAGGAAAACATTAAACAAGAATGGAGTACATGGGAGGGCACCACGGAGGAAGCCATTGCTGTCCAAAAAGAATATTGCAGCACGTTTGAAGTTTGCAAAAGAGCACCTGGATGTTCCACAGCACTACTGGCAGAATATACTGTGGACAGATGAAACCAAGATTGAGTTGTTTGGGAAGAACAACAAACACTATGTGTGGAGAAAAAAAGGCACAGCACACCAACATCAAAACCTCATCCCCACTGTGAAACATGGCGGAGGGAGCATCATGGTTTGGGGCTGCTTTGCTGCCTCAGGGCTGGACGGATTGTTGTCATTGAAAAAATTAATTCAAGAGTTTATCAAGATGTTTTGCAGGGAAAACGTACGACCATCTGTCCACCAACTGAAGCTCCGCAGAGGATGGGTGATGCAACAGGACAATGACCCAAAGCATACAAGTAATTCAACAAAACAATGGCTGCAACAGCACAGAATACGCCTTCTGGAGTGGCCCAGTCAGAGTCCTGACCTCAAACCGATTGAAAATGCTGTGGCATGACTTAAGAGAGCAATTCACACCAGACATCCCAAGAATATTGCTACACTGAAACAGTTTTGTGAAGAGGAGTGGTCCAAAATGACTCCAGATCGTTGTGCAGGTCTGCAACTACAGGAAACGTTTGGTTGAGGTTATTGCTGCCAAAGGAGGGTCAACCAGTTATTAAGTCCAAAGGTTCACATACTTTTTCCTCCCTGCACTGTGAATGTTTACATGTTATGTGCAATTAAACCATGGCAACATCTAATGTTTGTGCAGTATTATGTTCAGCAGACTGTGTTCTTCTATTGTCGTAACTTAGATGACGTTCAGAGCACATTTTATGCCCAATTCATGCAAAACTTACTTACATACTTTTTCTTGCAACTGTGTATATATATATATATATATATTATATATATATATATATATATACAGTCATGGCCGAAATTGTTGGCACCCTTGATATTTTTCTGAAAATCAAGTATTTCACACAAAAAAGGTATTGCATTAACACATGTTTTGCTATACACATGTTTATTCCCTTTGTATGTATTGGAACAAATATAAAACAGAGGCAGAAAAGCAAATATGACATAATGTCACACAAAAACCCCAAAATGGGCTGGACAAAAGTATTGGCACCCTTAACTTAATATTTGGTTGCACACCCTTTGGAAAACATAACTGAAATCAGTCGCTTCCTATAACCATCAATAAGCTTCTGACACCTCTTCACCCGGAATTTTGGACCACTCTTCCTTTGCAAACAGCTCCAGGTCTCTCTTATTGGAAGGACAATTTTCCCAACAGCAATTTTAAGATCTCTCCACAGGTGTTCAATGGGATTTAGATCTGGCTCATTGCTGGCCACTTCAGAACTCTCCAGCGCTTCTTTGCCATCCATTTCTGAGTGCTTTTTGACGTATGTTTGGGGTCATTGTCAAAACCGCTGAAGACCCAGGATCTTGGACGCAAACCCAGCTTTCTGACACTGGGCCCTACAGTGCACCCAAAATCCTTTGGTAAACAGATTTCATGTGCCTTGCACACAGTCAAGGACCCAGTGCCAGAGGCAGCAAAAACACAACCCCAAAACATCATTGAACCTCCACCATATCCGTAGGTACTGTGTTTTGTTCTTTTGCCTCAGGTTTTCGAAACAGTAAATGATGTGCTTTACAAAAGCTCTATCTTGGTCTCATCTGTCCACAACGTTTTCCCAGAAGGCTTTTGGCTTACTCAAGTACATTTTGGCAAACTGTAGTCTTGCTTTTTTATGTCTCTGTGTCAGCAGGGGGTCCTCCTGGGTCTCCTGCCATAGCGTTTCATTTCATTTAAATGTCGACGGATAGTTCGCGCTGACACTGATGCTCCCTGAGCCTGCAGGACAGCTTGAATGTCTTTGGAACATGTTTGGGGCTGCTTATCCACCATCCGGACTATTCTGCGTTGCAATCTTTCATCAATTTTCCTCATCCGTCCACGACCAGGGAGATTAGCTACAGTGCCATGGGTTGCAAACTTCTTGATAATGTTGCGCCTGTGGACAAAGGCAAATCTAGTTCTCTGGAGATGGACTTGTAACCTTGAGATGTTGATATTTTGCCACAATTTTGGTTCTCAGGTCCTCAGACAGTTCTCGTCTCCTCTTTCTGTTGTCCATGCTTAGTGTGGCACAGACAGACACACAATGCAAAGTTAAGTGAACGTCAGCCTTTTTATCTGCTTTCAGGTGTGATTTCTATATTGCCCACACCTGTTACTTGCCCCAGGTGAGTTTACAGGAGCATCACATGCTTGTAACATTCATTTATCCGCAGTTGTGAAAGGGTGCCATTTTTGTCCAGCCCATTTTTTTGGAGGTTTGTGTGACATTATGTCGAATTTGCTTTCTTTCCTCCCTTTTTTTTGTTTTGTCCCAATTCACACAAAGGAATAAACATGTGTATAGCAAAACATGTGTTAATGCAATACGTTTCGTGAGAAATACATGATTTCCTGGAGAAATATCAAGGGTGCCAACAATTTCGGCCATGACTGTATATATATATATATATAAATAAAACTGACTGTACAGTCCAGGGATCCCAGCAGATTAAAAAATAATGTTCAGCTTGGAAAAAAAATTTCATCCTAGCTTCTATGCAGGACAGGAATGAACGTTCTGAATGGGAGTTTTTTAGATACACTTTGGGAGTGCCGCTCATGGCCTACAGGTATGGCATTTAAACTAAGCAAAACAGCATTTAATCTACTGAACCCTCTGGGCTGCATAGTTAATTTTTATTTATTTTTTTTTTATTCAAAAAGTAATTTAACCATTAAAATGTAATTAAAGGCAAACCACCTTTTTTAGTTCTGGGTTGCCGCCTCTTCACCCTCTCTATTTTTCCAATTTACCATTATCATTGAAAGTTAAAGTAAAAGAAAAATCCCAAATTTTTGGGTTTACACAACAGTAATTGAGGGGAAATCTTCCAATAAGGACCATGGTGACACCCTGGAATTTCCTCACTTTGAAGGGATTTCCTCTCATTTCCGGTTTTAGCTATGGGACAAGAAGTAAAGGGAAATCTATCCAAAAGGAAAATTAGTTTCGTCTTTAGTAACCCTTTAAGGTACACATAAATAGAAAAAAAAAAAATAGAAGAACACGACAACCCATATCTCTCTCACTCATGCAGTCACCTTAGTCTCTAATACCTGATATCCTGCACAGCTAATTTTGCAGATGTCACAATAATGCAGCTGTTGTGGTTTCGGCTGCCCCTTGAATTTCGTGTCTTTGTTCACATATGGAGCATTTTTGGCATATTTAGTACCATTTCCATTAGCTCTAGCATCTTTGCTGCCCCAAGATCCATGTCCAAATCGATTAGGCTGCTGATAATGGTAATTGGACGAAGCCTCTGGATATGCAGCAGGTTCACAAGAAGAGTAACTGGAAGCTGAAGAAAAACAACTGAAATGTGACAACTAAAGAGTTTAAGAACTATAAGACTGGCCATGGATAGGTCAACAGTTCAGTGAAAGTTCAACGTACATTCTTAACTGCTGTGTAACATTGTAGAGTAGGGGTGTCCAACCTATGACTTTCCTGGGTCACATTGGAAGAAGAATTGTCTTGGGCCAAACATAAAATACACTAACAAGAAGGATAGCTGATAAGCAGAAAAAGTTGGGCAGATCACAAGTTAACAATCATGGATATAGATTAAGTACCTACTTTAGTAATAAAGGGTCTTTTTTTTTGGTAATATTTCTTATTCTAAAAGTAAAAGAAGGCAACATAGCACTAGTGCGATATCGGACATAGTTTTTGATACACTAACGCATCAATATCTGGTTTAATTGATGTAGTAGTAATTCTCAATTCATTCTAAAGGTGCTCATCAGATATTTTGGTTCTAAGTTTTGCCAATTGTGCTTCATCCTTGATAATAGTCGCTCACAAATATTGGTGCTGCCGAAAACTGATGATATGAATAAGGCATGATCGTGAAGAATGGGAGATTTTTCTTTGGGAAGATAAAAGTTCAGTGAAGAGACAGTCAATTTTTTTTTTCCAGCTGCATGCGTTCACCAAGTATAAATGCATTTTTACAAACAGTTCCCCACACATTCATAGCCGTCTTGGGCCACATGTGGCCCAAAGGCTGCAGGTTGGACACCCCTGTTGTAGTGTAAATAGAATTAACAGTGTCTTACTTTGCAGTAATTTTGCTTGATTTGTGCCACTTGGGCTGATGTAAGCATTTTAACCTTAAACACTAGAACAGATATATTTTAGAAGTTATTTGCATTATATTCTAAAATAACATTTTACTGATAACATTGCTCTAAAACTTACTGTCAAAGGATGATTTTCAAAAAAATCAGAAGATCATATCAACCAACACCATTCCATATTTATATTATTAATATTATAAACTATGTTTGGCTTCTTTAGATTGTAAGGGATATTACTTGAACAGTATTACTACACAGTATTCTGAAAAATTCTCCCTCTATAGCCAGCCCAAAAAAAATGGATAAATTTAATTAGAAACACACCTGCACTTTTTAACTGCCAATTTTTATCTCTGCCCTTCCTCCACATCAAACTTTCCCAGTGTATTAATGACTGTGTGGCCTTCATTCCAGTTTCAAAAGCCTGATATCAGCTTTAACCTAAAGAGTGCAAGCAGGAGGCAGTGGGAATACGCATCATCTGCATCTGAGGTCTGTATTACAATGTGTAAATTTGACGCAGAGAAGAGGGCACACCAAAAAAACTAGTTTCATGGAAAGTACAATTACCCAGGACAGCACCCATAAAAAAAAAAAATATATAAAAACTGACAATCAATGTGTCCTTATTTAACCTCCCTAGCGGTCTGATTATGTCCATATTTCTGTGCTCAAAGTGGTACTTTTTTTGCATGGAAATATGTAGTTTTTTTTATTGTAGGACTGTAATTTTAAGGAATAACTCACTGAAATCTGTCTAAACAAGAGTCTAGTAAACATCCCGGGTATGTTACAATTTGAAACACGAAATCATAAATTATAATTCAATAAAAAATCATAAACAATAATAAATTTACTTCAATAATATAATCAAACAAAAAACACTGACATTTGAAATATAGCACCAAGTTCGCACATCACTGAGCAAAGTCGCAAAATCGTTTTCAGTGTCTGATGACAAATTTCCCTACGAATCATTATCACTCAATTCTGCAAGTGGTTCTAATTTACTATCGCTGTTCTCTAGCCGGTCTAAAACAGCTTTTGACCTAAAGGGACACTTTTTGGACGCCATGGACATTTCTCAGTTTCCAGGCAGAAAGAACAGTAAATATGCAGGCAGGGCACAGGACAAAGCACTAGGGCCAAAATGTATGTGAAATGGTTTGATACAGTAATGTTTTACTATGTGATTTTAATGTATTTAGTGAATGTCACTTTTTGTCATTTTCAAATTTCCCGCCGTTCCGTCCCCCGTATGTCCCGACGCTCGCAGGGGACGGAACCCAGAAGACAGATGCCAGCATCCGCCGGAGGACATTGCTGGGGACACTGCAGGAGGGACATCACGGGAGCGCAGGACAAGGTAAGTGAAGAACAGATCCCGGAGCAGCGACGCATGGTAAGCCTGAGTGTAGCTCGTGGTTACCGTTTGTGGTACTGAAACTTTACCCCGAGCTACACTCGCGAATACCGCCAGGGAGGCTACTCTGCACTAATTCCTCCTAACTTAGCTGCCAGCACCAAAATTAATCTAAAGACTTATTCAAATACATACACAACTATTGCTGTTGTGCTCAATGAAGAAAGAAATAAACCTATGCAAAAATAACTAGATATGTAGTTCGCCAAACAAATTAATGTGGCAAAAAAAAAATAGAAACTTAAAAAACTTTATTACATGCAATCACCATTGTGATATGTCTTTATAAAAAGAAAAATCATTCAAATAAAAAGTCCCACAGTCCATTAATGTTGCGTGAGATCAAAGAACAGTCCAGAAAAAGAATTTTATTAAAATCAAGATCAGTCACTCACATAAAATGGTGCACTCAGATCATGCACTAGCTCTGACAAACATGCACCAATGAGTGTCCAATAATACGATCATTGGGTGTCACACTCACTATGGTGACAGGACACAGAATCCTCTGGTGTTTCCTAGATCCGCCCTACACATTGCATCATAGATTACTTCTTCAGGGACATTTATGCAATGCAGTTCTCATTGTGCAGTTTGTCAGAAGTTGTTTGCAGCACTTCTCCAGTGCTGATTTTTTACATACAGCCTAAGTGGGAATGAGGGCTGCCATTTCATACAATGCACATGCATTGGGCTTTATAAGAAAACAAGGCAGATGTGCAAAGATAACTACCATTTGCAGCACAAAAAAACTAATAGCTCAAAAACGTCTTTCACTATCCTTACCTACCCCCACGATTTATGGAAACAGTTAATATGCTTATTCAGATACAAAAACTTGTATACCAGCATAGAGGATACCTGAATACATTTACAAAATGCAGTAAAAAATGTCTAGAAACCCCAAGCCTTGTGCTTACATCCTTGATTTTACACACACCCCTAACGAAATAGAGGGTACTACTCTCAAGCGGACATTTGTTCTGGATAGCAGCATATGTAGGGTAATAGCTGTTTCACCACAGGCTTGTTGTGAAGGCACCGCAGCATTTGTCTAGCCAGATATAAATAGCTGTCAAACAATAGAAAGCAAATTTAAAACTGCCAAAGGCAAAGGAAGATGATATAAAGAGCTGACACAGAGGCTGGGGATTGTTACATTGCAGGATTATTTCCTTAAAGGGTGTACCTATCTTAGGAGTTTTATGCCAGAAGAGTAGGGTTTGTCTAAAACAACATGAACAGCAGCTGTCAAACAGAAGGCACATAAATTTACCACAGCCAGAAACTTAAAGTGGTTGGAAAGGAGGAAGGAAAGGTCCCCTTTCAATCCAGCGATGTGCACTGAAGTCTTGGCAATCCCGGGACTTCCTCTCCTTATTGGCTGAGACAGCAGCGGGAGCCATTGGCTTCCGCTGCTATCAATCACAGCCAATGAGAAGAGCGGGCGGGACCAAGTCACGGCTCCACGTGTGAATAAACACACGGAGCAGCAGGTGCTCCCATAGCAAGCTGCTTGCTGTGGGGGCACCCTACAGGAGTGAGGGGCCAGGAGTGCATGCAAAACCACTACAAACAGCAGGTAATGATGATGCGTATGTCATTTTCTTTTTTTAAATAACACTTTAATATTTCTATCCACTATTAACTAAAGTCAAAATCCATTTTATTTTCTATCTCCTCTCACATTTGTTTTAATCCTCGTTACATAAATTCTTTTGCTTCTTCTTTTAACAGTTCCTTACTCTTCAGTCAGTGGCTGTCCTTCCTTCTGGACAGCTCAGCACTCATGTACTGACGTATGAGCTTCATACTGCTCAGGAGTACATTAAGTCTAGGCACCACATTTAGTGCACTGTCTCACAGAGGTGGCTTGGGAGCGAGAACACAAAAGAGTGCTTGCTCTGAGGGCACAAAGAGGGAGGGGAAGAGGCAGACAAGGGAACCGTGAAGAGGAGGATCAGGGCTGCTCTGTGCAAAACCATTGCACAGAGCAGGTACATTTAACATGCTTGTTATTTATTTAAAAAAAATAAATAAATAATTGTAACCTTTACAATCACTTTAAGGCAGGGTTTGACAAATTTGCCTTGAATCTAGGAGCCAGCTAAAAAAGTTGGGAGCCAGTTCTTTTTTAGCGTAGCATGGGTTGTCAGCACCCAAGGCAACTTTTCGATGACAAACTTCACGCGATGCGATTTGCCAAACGTGACAAGCGCAGCAAAACCGCACCCATTTTTTAGGTGCCACGGAAAACAATGGCACCTGAACCTGCGGCTTCTGATCACACCGAATCTGCCACGATCCCAAAACGCTCAGGTGTGAATGGAGCCACCCTGGTTCACACTTATGCAATTCTCGAGGCGGTTTCAAATTCACAGCTTCGCATGACAGATATATATTTTGTGTTTATTTTGAGGTGGTTCACACAGATGTGATCTACACACATTGTTTTGAGTGGCATTATGAAAAAGGGTCCTGTGCAAGTTTGTAGAGGTGCGTTCCAGACGACCAGGTGATAAGTGTAAAGTGGCATACGTAGATTGCTATTGACAGGAGTTTTTGCATTGAAGTCTATGGGAGGAGACTTTGCATTGAAGTCTATGGGAGGCAGTGTGTGATCCCAGGCACCAGGATGTAATTTCTAGTCGCCATGGCAACCTGGCACCTGAGATTTGTCGAGCCTTACTTTAAGGTGTATCTGCTCATTATAAAACATTAACACCCCTTTCACTTTGGGTGGTACAAAATTTGTATAATCAGCAAATTAGACACTGATATATACACACGCATACA